TCCATCTCTCGCTGAAATTAAATCCAATTTTGATGAAATTAAATCCAATATTAAAAATATTAATGATACTGGATTTAGTATTATTAGAGATAACATTAATAGTATTAAAAAATCTATCGAGGATATTACAAAATTTAAAACAGACAATCTTCCGCTACTTGAAAGAATAAAGATTCCTCATGAGAGGAATATCATAAATATGATATACACGGTTCTCTCTGGATCATTAGATTGGGAACCTAAAAAGAATACAATAACTCTCACTGTGTCAAAGAAGGGTATTTATCGATTAACAATAGTGTCACTGAATCAGTTTAATATATCATCATCGACTTCATATGGATACAACAACGTGATTTCAACGACTATTGACATGGATGAATACAAACGATTTACAATAACAAGCACTGATCCTAATTTAAATAAGACATCATTTGTATGGTACATGGAGTTTGTAGCTGATCTAAATTAGAATTTTTAACAATTAAAAACCACTTGAGATTTTAAAATAATATGATTCCGTCATCGCAATATCGCTATGATACCGTCAAAGAGTTCTTAACAAAACTCAAAACACTCATTGATGAGTATGAAATAAAAATTAAAAAGTATCGCAGGAGAATTACCGTAATTGATGTTACAGTATACTCGGTATCTGGTATAATGGCCGGTGCTGGTATTATACTATCTTCAGTAACAATGGTAGCTCCGATTGCTGTCCCAATTGCTATTTCCGCGGTGACAACATTTGCTGGAATTGCAAATGCTATTACTAAAAAAATATCATCGTGTTCTCAAGAAAAACTGAACGATTATATAGTAAAACATCAAGCAGTATCTAACGGTTACTCACAATTATCCTCGTTGATGTCATCATCGATTGATGATACGATAATTACCGAAGACGAGTTCTCCGCGATGATACGTATTTATGATACTACGATTAAAAACGCTAGCGTTTTTTCATCTATTGCAAAATTAGACATTATAAATAATAATAATAATGTCGCAAGAGATTCAACTACTTCAGCGGATAGCAGAAAATACCACTCCGCGGAAAACAAGCATGATATCAATATCGTCAACAAACCCTAAATTCAGTGTGAATTTTCCCTCACCTGTTTCAGTAAAGGAAATCGCGTTGGCAAAATTACGAGTGTATCATAGTTGGCCTAATATCAGATCGGTTTCATTTGGTGGTCAGAGACCTAATAATTCCCTGGTATTTGCATATAGGAATAAAAAAGATGACACTCCAGATTGGAACGTTGTTTCAATACCAACTGGATCCTATCAAATTGAGCAAATTAATAATGAATTACAACGTAGAATAAAATCCATTACTAAAAAAGAATCAAAAATTGCGATAACAGTTCATGAACCAACACTGTCATCTACAATTGAAATAGGCTCTCCTGGGTACGTTGTAGATATTTATAACAGTTCAATAAGAACAGTATTAGGATGGCCCGAAGATCCACCTAGAAGTGCTGGTAATTCCACGCCCGAGCCTATAAAATCTGATTATGTCACTGATGAAATAGGACCTGAAAATCCATCAAAAACTTATAAAAAATTCGAGGATATAAACTTTACAAAACGATATCGATATAAGGATGAATATGGTAAAGATGTGTGGAGAATTCCATTTTTTAATGATTATATCCCACAGGAAGGTGAAATTCTGGAAATACATGAAACAAGTCCAACATTTGTAGACATTAAAGATCACATCCTTGATAGAATGAATAATGATTTTTTGTTGCTATTACCGTCGTTAAGATCTGGCTTTCTTACACAAGCTGAGTTTACTAGTGTAGTCGCTGCGGGTAATAAAATCATCGATGACATGGAAATATTTAATTCGAGGATTACTAATCTCTTCACTGATGAAAATAGCCCGATTTTAAAAACTAGCTCAGCTCAAGATTATAAAAAAAATATAAATGAAAATCCAAATTATAAATTACCAGGATATAATGTTCCCGAGTTAAAGAAAAAACTCAGAACTGCCATCGACGAAGGATTTAATAAAATTTATCAATCATGGAAAGATAGCCAGCCGAAGCCTATTATCCTCACTTATAATAATTCTCCCGACGGCGACGGTAGACATATCGCACCGAACAATGTGAATATTTCATCAGTGATCGCACTTAATTTAACATGTGATGTAATCGAAGGGAGTTATCAAATTAATATGGAACAATCAAATCAAGCCCGACAAGGTTACATTCTTTATTCATTTTCACCAACAGCACCCCCCGGATTTTTAATTGTTGAGAATCCGACTAATCCAGTCTATATGCAATGTCAAAATGATTTACTAACTAGAATTAATTTTACACTCACCGATCAGTCAAATAATTTGATTGATCTACGTGGTGAAGTATTATCGATTAGTCTGTTTGTGAAAAGCTAACAAATAATTTGTATTAATCAGCAGCAGGGAGGGTGAGATGACAACATTTTTGCGACCGTAGATGGCAGCAATTTGAGGGTGGTTATGACAACAATGTATTTGCGACAAAATCGCTAAGGCTCCATTTGTAAAATGGGGTCTTTAATTTTTTTTTGGTTAAAATATGAGATTTCGTAGGAAGGTTCCATTTGGCATTCTGAGGCTTTAATCAATTTTGTCGCAAAAATTTGTAGGATTCACCCTCCCTGACGTAGATGGCAGCAATTTGAGGGTGGTTATGACAATGTATTTGCGACAAAATCGCTAAGGCTCCATTTGTAAAATGGGGCCTTTAATTTTTTTTTGTTAAAATATGAGATTTCGTAGGAAGGCTCCATTTGGCATTCTGAGGCTTTAATCGATTTTGTCGCAAAAATTTGTAGGGTTCACCCTCCCTGCTGCTGACAGTAACACACACAGGAGAATGACGAACTTAGAATAAATGCCTAAAGTATTACAAAGCCAAGACAATTAGCCTACCTTTAAGTATTTCTTAAATGCATCTGGTCTCCAGCTGCCTACTTCTCGTATTTGTTCGCTAAAACATTGTCTATCTACCTCAGTGGCGGTAAAGATTCTGAACCTATGAGACTATTATATGATCCGCAATAAATTCTACTCTATAAACTGGTTGTCCATTTCGGTTCATGATTAGTGTTCACAGAGTATTAACTCTGAGGTTCAGGTTTGCTTGTAATTGAGCTATCGGACATATAGAACGTTTTTATTGGGCAGCATCATGCAAAATATATGGTTGTCCAGAGGAGTGTTAGATGTGTCGAAAAGTGATTGTAAGACGCTTGTTGGAAAAAAAGTGATTTGCGATAACTGCATTATCATTCTGACGTGCAGTCGCTTGCACTGTAATCTACCATATTCTGAGAAAGGCATGGAAAGACAATGTAAACATGGCCGAATACATGGTACGCATGAAATGGTTTGAGATGGTATTAATTATCGATGCTGTAAGCTTATCCAGTACAACTTTACAAATTGGCAAACAAAAATCATGAGATTTACCTTTGTGTATTTTCTTGAAATCAGCTTTTGAATAAGGAAAAATGACCATGGGTCTGAGAAGTCGTTGAGTTTGCGCTATTAGCCAACTTCCAAAACAAACGCGGATATCGAAAATTCTGAATATTTCTTGTTGACTAATTGCGTCATGAAAAGTACCAAATTGGTTATCAAAACTGGGAGAAAAAAAATCGGTTAAGGTGTCTGATTTGAACTCTTTATATAGCGCCCAAGCCCGCTTTTATATAATTTGTGTAGCTGGGTGAAGGATATATTTTAAGCAAGTGTTCTCTAGCTTGGCAAGGATGGAAGAAGCGGAATGCGATGAGGGTGTGAGTCCGCATAGGGGGCCATGGCGTGGAAACTCAAAGCCTACTGGTGAGAAAGGGAATCGGTGAGTTTACCAGATTTGTGCTTTGTAGTGAACAAGATATTTTCTGTAAGGCGATCGAGTACAAATTTGCGAAGGAAATGCATTATTATTGTGTCCTTAGAGGACAGCTTGATTATGATTTCAACTAAGGCTTGATTGTCAGTATCAAAATAGATGCAAATATTGGATAAGTGTTCTCCCCAGTTCTGAAATGCGAGAACAATGGGCTAGAATTCCAGAAGCTTTATGGTTTGATATGCTCATGTCTGATCCCAAATTCCGTATACATAGTGCGTTCCAAGGTTCGGACCGTATGCTACTGGAGGCAGAAGCTTCTGTGTACAAGTAGAATTAGTAGGAAGGCATCCAAATGTCAGGCAAGAATAACAATCTGCCGTTAAAGTCGGATAAAATGTTTTACAAGACCCTCAGGTCTAATATGGCCGATTGTGTTAGTTTAATGTGATGACGCGGTTTTTGAGATGCCAATTGTTAAGTTGATAAGTCACCAAAAAAAGGCATGTTCCGACAAAACAACTATGCAAGCAATACTTATAATGGATTTCAACTCCTTGAGGGTAACTTGATTTCGGCATATAAAGTCAGGAGGTGACAAAGCTTATGTTGGCAGTGGACACGAGTTGCATCAAGTATCAAAATGTCGTCCAAATTATGTGTTATCTGTGTTATAAACAACTTTGTGTTCTCCGTTCATTGAAGGGAATTGCTAAAGGTCTCAAATATCTGGCAACTGGAACAACAACCAATTGGTAAGCATTTGTGAAAATAGTAGCTGTTCCACCACAAAAGCCGAAACAATGATATCGCATGAGACAAATAGGAAAATTACGGAAAGCATTTTATATGTCTGTTTTGGCGTTAAAAATCCCATTCCCAGATACTTTTTGTACATGTAATGGCATTATCAATGCCTTCGTAGTGCTCTGCTGATACTTGAGTTGGAATTCCATCGTTAACCAAAACGCCCGGTGGGAAAGAAAGCTGATTATTTAGTCTGAAAGAAAAGACCCAGTAGTTTTCTTTCCTTCTACACCCAAAGGCGACATGGGTAAATTAAAAAATGGTTTTGTACGAAAATGACCCGCAAAACAACTTGCTGACATTTATTTCTGTATCTTTTCTTCAACCGATCCGGTGGCTTAGTGGTTAGAGCGTCCGCCTCAGATGCGTGAGGTCGCGTGTTCGAACCCCGGCCAAGTCATACCCAAAACTTTAAAAAATAATGGTACTAACAGCTGCCTCGCTTTGTGCTCAGCATTAAGAGGTTAGTGTTAGGACTGGTTGACATGGTGTCAAAATAATTTGACTGGGTGGGATATCATGCCACATGTCTGCGCCATAATGCCCCAGTGTTAGAGATTACTATAAACTGTCATACTGCAGACATCGTATCGATAGTTCTGAAAAATTGTTAAAGTTACGTATAAAATCTAAATCACACACACACACACAAACACACATCTTTTCTTAAGTAATTTGGACATTAGTTTTAACCAATTTCAGATTATTGCATACGCGTGTTTGCAATGTTCCCAAACATCGAAACACTTTTGCAAACCTAAAAGCAGGTATTCTGTTGTGGCACTAGTGAACCTGCTCCACACAAAGTCCTGTCCGATTGGGAGTTGAATGTTCCTAACATTTGAGACAATGCTAAGTTCAGGACCAATACTGTAATTATGTAACTGAAATTTAAAAAACGCGTCATGTGCGTTACTCAGGAGGATATAATAACCATATGTTTGACTTAACACTATCAGGGATTAATGCGGATGGGAAAACCGATGAGCTTACATACAGTGATTGTGAATACCCTACGAAGGCAGAAACGATTTGGACGAAGTTACCTGTATCCACCTCTGTACCTGTAAGTGAAACTATGTTTTTCACTATGGCGCACAACAATGTCGTGTATAATCTAGTCATTTCACACTTTTCAATCAAGATGAAACGATCGCATGATTTCAGTGAGAAAGGAGAAGAAATTAAGAGGCCGAGACGTTGAGATATCTCATCACACTCGAGCTGAATTTATGGATCAAATCCGTACCATCGAGTTTAAAGACGACATGAAGTAATCTGAATCCACATCTTTTACGTCTTCGACCAGTTCTAGAGAGTCTACACGATTTCAAAGTCCCGCATAACCCGAGAAATATTACCATAGTCGAGAGACGAGAAGTATACGCTCTTCCAAAAAATTTAGAATCACGGATTATATTTACTTTGTGCTGTTTAGAGACTTCAGGTCATAAATACATATAGAGAAAGCAGAAGGGTTATTCGCCTATTTTTGGGATTCCTATTTAACCACATGACACGGCAATGTGAAGTCAAAGCATATGACTCTTTAGGACTCTCTATTTATCACAAGAGTTTCAAGTCGCCTGTTTCAGTCGAATTCAGCAGCTCAGTAAAAGACAAAGCCATCGAGATGATTCAACACGATCAGCAGTCCAACCATCATGTTCATCTCAACAGTGGAAAGCTACGCTTTACATGAGACGCGTTTTCATCCGAAACGGGACGAACATATAAAATGTGATATTTGTGGATGAATGTCGCAGCACAAACGCTAACATAATTAAAATTAACAGCGATCAAGATATGATATGTTTGTCCTATGCCATTATTGTGGGATCTACGTATTCAGACAAGAATGACACGATAACAAGGAGAATAGCCTAAGAAAACATTCGACAATGTGAAGCAAAACGTCTGTTACAATGACCTTCGTTTCATAGAACCCACATGCTGCATTCCTGGCATGCAAATATATCAAGATGTCTTGGCTCCAAGCTAAACTGTGAACGTGTTATTTCGAGGCAACATTTCAACGAATGAAAATACATTCAAGCCTGTCATCAAGATGAACATTTCGATGCTATAAGCAAAATCGAAGGATTCGTAAAATACATAGAGAACTGTAAGAAATGCGATTATTGAGTGTAGGAATCGAAAGCATCACAATCATTGCGGATGGAAATGCATGGAATATTTAGCATCTAAATCCTGTCTTAACAGAGTACAAAAACGAATGAGCAGCTCGGCATCTCAGTGAAATTCTATCATCCTTATCTGTTCCCATGACGCAAGATTCACAGAGGCAAAAATGCTTGAAAACAAACTCTTGTGAGTGTTCTCTGCTTGGGAACAAGTCATAGGCAACAATGATGTAAAGACGCACATTTGTCAAGAATAGAAACGATAGCACGTTTGTCACTGAAAGTGGGCTTGGAACATGAATGGTCTATTTAAAAACATCGATCAAAACTGGACGAGGAAGATGACAAGAATAAGAAAGGGAATTTCTTATTTGTCTATTGCGAATACGGCATTAATATTCTTAATTTCTGCGTGGCTCATCTTTTGTCGTTGCCCACACTATAGCAAGATTACTAGAGGAAGGGAAGAACATCATTCGAGGACATAGCACACTGACCGATATAAGCCCATTGGATCTTAAAATAGCAACTAGACGTGGAGTCAAGAGGACATCGAACTTTACGGAGATTTTCCATAGGTGTAAAATGGTCACTCTTTGTCGTAGTATGTTGTCATAGGTACAATATGGTGATTGCTCACTATTCTGCGTGGTATGATGGAGAATGTATTTTAACATGCTATATTATACAAGGCACGAAAAGCCATAAATTCACATTGGGGTACAATCATTTCCATGCAAGTGAGCCAAGTACAATTTAACGATTTTATGTGCTATGTAGTCGTGTCCTTGAATCGAATGCCTAAAACGTTTGGAATGACAAAAATGGCCAAATTATTTTTCTCAACTCTTTACTACCGATGAAAATAACCAAAATGTCTTTTTGTCGCATTTGACTTATTGTCAAACTTACGAATCCGACAACGAGAAACTTTATACACTTGTTATCAAAGGCACGTCTCGGTCCCCTTCAATGTTCAGAAAGAAATGTTAAAGTATTGTCGTTCTCACGTGGACATGATACGTTGTTTCTGTAAAAAAAAAATTGTTGAGAACTGTTCATAGAACAGAGTGGAATATACACATTGAAAGAAGCATGTATTATAGAACACAGTGGAATATACATATTGAAAGAAGCATGTACCATGGCCAAAGCGTGATCTTTTGTGTACTGCAAACGATTCCTGCCCCAAAACACCCTGACTGTCAGAAGTCCTCAAAAAAGCGAACTTCATCAAACGTCTGTACTCTATATAAGCTCTATGATGGCTATATCACTTGCTAGAAAAGAAACACAAATCTGGAAAGCTAGAAAGAAAAAAGAGACATAATCGGGGGATTGCAGAGACTTGGAAAACCCAGAGAAAGCCTGCGAGTTTAGCACCCGTTTATTTCACTGATGTCAGACCTGTTATCCTCAACGAGGTCTTGGTCTTGGACAATTTAAGTCGCTTGCTGCCGTGAGGCTTACACGACTGCTTACAGTTCCGGGCATGGCCTGCAGTCCCTCTGGGGAGTATGCCACAGTCCATGGCATGGACTGTGGTCCCCCCTGGAGGGCGCTTGACCTTTGGTGCTAGGCCTTTTCCTGACCCCTAGAGGTTAGGGACCTGAAAAAAGACTCTTATGTTGGCATTTTGATTCTGAACTTGACTCTAATCTCAAAATGGCAGAACCACAAACTACTCTCCTACTCGGGCCGCGACTCCCGCCCCACCAAAAGCCCCCAAGTTAATATCCACCTAACTTTATTTCAGTTAGGTGGATTTTTTTATCAAATATAGACCAGTTTTTCCTATTGGTATCCCTATATCAATGTTGTGTGAGCCACATGTGCAATTGTCTCAATGAACCTGTGTTGTGGATTTGGAATAAATAATTGTAGTTTGAATTTTGCCTACTTGGCGTACTTATAATGTTCGAAAAAGTACCAATCTTTAGGCGTTTGCCGCCTATTTTAATAAATTTATCACCGCTTTGGTTTGAATGGTTGTGTAATTTTGACCGCCTTGCCAAAGAATCTTGTTTGGGCCATAGGTCTTCTGAGTTAAAGTAAAGACATAGGTTGTAGGCTTTTCGTTTCTTGAAAAGTTGGTTGCGCGGCCCGGACTGTTCATCGCTAATCGTTTGTACGTACCAGGGTTGGGGTTTTGAGACAGCAGTGGGAAGGTGGTTAGTTCTGCATAGTCCGTTGATTTGTTTTGAAGTGTGATCTGCTTGTGTGCGTGCTGAGTTGGGTTTTTGGGATGTTAGCTGGTGCTGACTAACTATCCCTTTTGATTTGAAGGCAATTTCGTACTTTTCTTTATTGGCAATGAAAAATTAGTAATCTTGTCATTCTACCCTCAAGGTAGTGTTGGTACTGCTTCCTTGGTATGACGGTTTGGGGACGATCCCACATCATCCCTCTGTTGATCTGCAGTAGAGTCTTCGGGTCGTATTGATTCCGCCATCTTGTTCTCGTTGTGGCTACTTTCCCTCCTTCATTGGATGCAGTAGGAGCTGACTGTATTCCATTGACTTTTCATGTTTGAGAATTGGTCGGATCCAATTCTCCGCTTCGGACTTATACTGGTGGAACAACCAATATAAAGGTTATATATGACGTTATGTAATCTTTTCACTTAATCCCCCTATCGTTAGAACGACTATGGGGATTATTGTTTATTTTGGGTCTTGGTCGGGTCCAAGACCCCGCTGGACTTGATAGTGCCTTCAAGTCTAGTAACTGCCATTCGGTCGGTACATTGTATTATTTCTACTCCTAGTGGAGTGGATTTTATGCTTGTTCGGCCAATCGGTCTATTCCGCTCCTGGGAGTTAGGGATATCAGGTGGGAGGTTCCTGATTCTGCCCTTAGCTATCGGTCTTGACCTATATGTCCGTGTCATGGTGGGAAATCTTAGCCTATACAGTGCTTATAGGTTTCAGGATCCACCCAGGCTTGTGCTAGTATGAGTCCTAGAGCCTGTTTTATGTTGTGGAATAGGTATGGTGTTTGCGAGTATGTTGATGTTTGTATGCGGGGATGGGTTATTAGGGTTTCGATACAGGCTTATTGATTCCCTTTATTTGATATTATTAAGATGTGTTTTCGGCGGTGCGATTCAGATATCTTGTCGTTTTCCTTCCCCTCTCCTCCCTGTATGATTTCCATTCTTTTCTTCTTTATATTGTATTATGTACTGTGTAATATTGGATGATTCAGTTTTATCGTTATTTTCCTCGTAAATTTGGAAAATAGTGTGTACTTTTTA